AATCCTTCCCATTTAGCAATAAAATAAGAGCCACATTTCTAAAACAAAAGAGCAATGCCAAAATAAGATAAACCAGTTGAATAATCTTTAGAAATTAGAAAATTTTAGCTGAGAAAAAGAAGTACATGCAAAGGATTTCACAAAAATGTATTGAAATATTAATGTAAAATAGGGCAGCCCTGATTACACTGTGTACGGCTGAGAATAAAAATTCTCAACGCGTAGCATATGAGAGCTGAGAATATGAATGAGAGTGTAAGAAAACTCTCAAACACCTTGTTACACGGGTAAGAATATTCCAGTGCTGAGAACTTATGAGAACTCCACGATAAGAGCGAATACCCACTCTCATTACTTGTTAGACGGTGAGAATGAGAGTGAATTCCTACTCTCAAGGTATTTACTCTCATCGTTTACGAGCACCTTAAAACACATTAATGAAATTGATAAGCTTGATAAAAGCGATAACGTTAGAAGCGTCGTAAGCGAAATTATGGCAATAGATATGTGCGAGGAAACAGACATAGATCTCAAACTAGGTGAAGAGATTAAATTCAATGATAAAAAACTGTTTAACGAAATCTTTATAAGAGTTTACCTAAATTCAAAGAGGCAAGACAGACCTTTAGTTAGAAAAGAGATGAAACTGATGCTAGTTGATGAAAAGCCATTTTCTTGCGCACCGAGAATACTGGCATATAAGGAGAAGTTAGAGTTACAGAATATAATAGATAAATATTTAAAAAAAGGTTATATACGACCTAGTGAATCGGAATTAGTGTCACCTATAGTGTTAGTCAAAAAGAAAACAGCTGATCTTCGGTTATGTGTTGATTTTAGGAAATTAAACAAGGTTACAGCAAAGGACAGTTACCCTATGCCCCTCATAGACGATTTGTTAGATAGATTAGCGAACAAGAAAATATTCACGAAGCTGGACCTCAAGAACGGATTTTTTCACGTGTTTATGGTTGAAGACTCAATAACATACACATCCTTTACTACACCGTTAGGGCAGTACGAGAATGCCATTCGGTCTCAAAAATGCACCTGCAACGTTTCAGAAGTTCATCAACAAAATTTTTGCGGACATGATTCGAAGTGGAGAGGTTATAGTTTATCTGGACGATATTATGATAGCGACGCAGAGTTTAAAAGAGTATTTTGAAATATTACGAAAAGTGTTTTTTAAAAATCGTACAGAATAACTTAGAATTAAGGTTAAATAAATGTGAGTTTTTGCAGTCGAGGGTATATACCTTGGCTACGCTATTACTGGAGTAGATATTCAGGCTAACGAAAAAGGAAAAAAGGCCATATAAACATTTGCAGTCCCCACTAAAGTTCACGAAGTTCAAAATTTTCTGGGCTTTTATGCTCATATTTCCGGAGGTTCATTAAAGATTTTTCAACGATAGCCAAACCCCTCCACGATATTACGAAGAAAGATAAAAAGTTTCAGTTTGGAGACACAGAGCTAGAGTGTTTTAACAGTCTTACGAAAAACACTGATTGTATCCCCTTTGTTGGCTGTCTATGACCCAAACGATGCAACAGAGTGGCACTTCGACGCAAATGCTCTAGGTTTTGGAGCAACTTTTTACGGAAGAAAAAGGACAATAAACTTCATCCAGTGCTCTATTTCTCCAAGCGCACGACAGACACAGAATCGAAATATCACAGTTTCGAGTTAGAAACACTCGCAATCGTATAAGCACTAAAAACGTTCAGAATTTATTTGCAAGCCATAAAATTTACAATTGTTACCGACTGCAACTCACTAACATTGACGCTCAATAAAAAAGATATGAACCCGCGAATAGCGAGGTGGGCTTTAGAACTACAAAATTACGATTATGAACCATATATGTAATAATCCTATATTGGCAGTAAGAGCCAGATATATCAATAAACACGTACGAAAGAAAAGGAACACATACGTTTATAAATAAACATGTACACAACACATATACGAAAACGGCACTCAAGTACACAATACATTGACAAAAACGGTACTAGACTGTCTCGCTTTGATTTCGGAATGCTTACACATTAAGAAGTTAGCTTACTGCCAATATAGAAGTATTACATATATGTTATGAGCTTAAACACAGAGCAGGAAAAAGAATGCAGCATGTGGATGCACTAAGCAGAGTAAATAATGTGCTAGTGGTGCACGCAAACACTTTTGAGGAAAATCTGATAATATGCTAGAATAGAGACGAACAGATGCCCTTAGAGTCCAGGCGTACTCTGTTATCGGTGTGCTTTGTCTTTGATTTAATTGCAGGCACTATAGATTGCTCGCACCTCCTTATGAAAATTCGTTTTAATATTCCCTCACGTATTCTTCGTTGTAACGAATTGTTTTTTGTGGGTGTTGTTAAAACTGTTTATGGGATGAATGCTTCTTTAAGAAGGACTCTATCCCAATTTAATGCTTATTCCTCTTCTTTAGACTTTGATTTTTCTTATTCAAAGTTTTCTTTTAAGAATTTACTCATAAGGCACTTGCCATAAGGGTTTCATTTATGCTATCTATAATTTGTCATATAGTCTGTAAGCATCTTGTTTGTTGATTAAATTAAATAAATAAAAAAGAAACTAGAGGTTAGCAAACAGTGACTACGAGATGAGAAACGGGATAATTTACAAGAAGAAGGACAGAAACCTACTCTTTTACGTACCAGAGTCTATGGGAAAACACGTTTATTTAGGAACAGACAAATTTGTGGAAACTATAGAAAAGAGTTATTGGTTTCCGAACATCAGAAAAAAGGCAACCACTCACATTGAGAATTGTTTAAAATGCATTGCGTTTTCCAACAAAAGCTGCAGAAAAGAGGGTTTTTTACACATTATACGTAAGGGAAATGTACCATTCGAAATGATACACATTGACCTCTACGGTCTAATTCATAGCCAATCCACAAAGCATAAACACATATTAGTAATAATTGACGCGTTTACGAAATTTTTTCGCCTTTACCCTGCAAATACTACAATGTCGAAAAAAGCGGTTACGACGTTAAAATATTAATTTAGGGCATATAGTAGGCCAAAATGCGTAGTATCAGACCGACGAAGCTGCTTTCTAATAGACAACAACGTCGGGCATATAAAAGTCGCCACAAGTTCACCTCAAGCAAACGGCCAAGTTAAAATTGTTAGTAAAAGTTAGGACCCATGATCGCAAAAATGATAGATTCCGAAAAGGAAATTGGGTGGGTAAAAGTGTTAGATTCTGTGGAGCACGCGATGAGCAACACAGTGCATAAAGCAACACAAGAGCTTCCCAGCGTATTGCTGTTCGGAGTGAGACAGAAGGGAAAAATTATCGAAACACTTAAAGAAAATGTATTAGAACCAATTCAAACGTCGAACTCGGTACCACTAGGAATGGCAGAAAACAGGCAAAATCAGTACAAGTTGAAGCACAAAATTACAACAAGGAATACTCAGATGCCAAACGATGAGTGCCTCGTTGGTTCAACGTAGGTGACTACGTGGTAGTTTCCAATATCAACTCGCAAGTAGGAGTATCTAGCAAATTAATACCTAAATTCAAGGGACTGTATAGAATATCGAAAATTTTAGAAAGCGATCGTTACATAATAGAAGACGTAGAGGGATTTCAGCTGTCCCAAATACCTTACAAAGGTACTTGGTTGGTTACAAATTTTAAGCCATGGTACGAGTATAGAAAAAAGAACTGAAAAGTCATAAAAAAAAAGTTTATGTCAACGCCGTAGAATCAGGAGATCCTATAAGTCAGGACGGCCGAGTTGTAGGACTCGGTAAGTGTGGAGGTGTTCGTGTGCACATGCGTTCTTATAACTAATTAGACCTTAAGATTTAGCTGCTAATTGGTTGTATTTAGACCCTAAGATTCACAAACGTTCAAACTGTAACTAGACCTTAAGGCTCACTTGTAACTAGCCAATAGAAATCGCGTTAGTTGTAGCGAGTAAAAACGACGCTATACGGCATTAAAAAACGGATCGAAGAGATCATTCGATTTTGCACATTACAAAGAAAGGACGTGTTTGATTTATTTTGTCGCCACCTGATATAATTCAAAATTTTTAAGTTTTTGAAGATTTTTATTTTGAGACTTTTATGATAAAAGTCTTTTCATAATAATTATGAGTGCGTAAAAATTTTTAAAGTCTTAAAAGACGGGGCTTGTTGGGGCCCATTTCGGGATTAGTTATGGACTAGTTGGGAGTAGTTTGGGCCCAGTTGGGAACTGGGCCCCAACTAGTCTCGAAGTTATCCCGAAATGGTCACGAACTTATCATGAAATGGCCCTGAACAAGGCCCGTCCTTTAAGACAAAAAATGTTTTCACACTCATAAATAAGTCTCAAAATAAAAGTCTTTGAAGACTTGAAAATATTTATCTCGCTGACAAGAAAGAAAAGATTTATTATATAAGTCTTAATAGTTATCGATGACTTAAAAAAAATATCTCCCATATAATTATTATCAAAACACTTTTGTGATTCTTGCGAATATTTGGACGACTTTTATTATTATGGGTATCTGATTTAAATATTATTTTACGAGTATTTTTAACATCTCTGGGTATTTGAAATTTCATGATGATGAATAAAAATTTATTCGTCATTCGAATTACTTGAATCAAGAATAAGAATTCATTATTCAATCAAAATTTCATGATAATGAACGAAAATTTATTCGTTATTGGAAATTTCTTGAATGAAGAAAAAATTGTTCTTCATTCGAAATTAATTTAATGAAGAATAAAAACTTATTCGTCATTCAAGCATAGAGAAATAGTGAATAAGGTTTTAGTTTTTATTTGAATAATAATTTATTCAAAAACGCCCATCAGTGCACCAAACATACCCAAATTCAAAAGAGCAGGCTCCTAATTTGAAGTTTATCAATTCGAAATCAAAGATTTGATTTATAATTACCTACTAACACATATATCTGTTAAATGTATGCTTTTTCGTCCAATCGTTTCGCCCACAGATATGAAACATTGAATTTATCGAAATATACATCTTCCTCACCAACGTTTAGCCGAGCTGGAAGTCCACTCAATAATGACTTACACGAGAATGGTATAAAATTTTGGCATTTGGTTAAGCACCATGATAGCGATATTCAAAAAGAAGGCGAGCGTGTTAATAAGCTCGTGTCTGAGATATATCTAACCCGTTTGTTAGCAACCAAAGGAACATTGCAAAAATTCGTCGATGATCTTTTCGAGACGATCTTTAGTACAGCTCACAGAGGTTCAGCGTTACCGTTAGCAATCAAATATATGTTCGATTTTCTGGATGATCAAGCGTTGTTACATGGCATAACAGATCACGAAGTTGTACATACATGGAAGAGTAATAGTTTGCCATTAAGGTATTATATATACTTTCTTGCGTATACGCATGTTTGATAATGCCTGAGAAGATCATGTTAAAACTTCTATTTTCTTATCTTGATTTCCAGATTTTGGGTTAATTTAATTAAGAATCCAAATTTTGTGTTTGACATACATAAGTCGAATATAGTTGATTCCTGCTTATCCGTTGTAGCTCAAACCTTTATGGACTCGTGTTCCACGTCAGATCACCGATTAGGTAAAGTCAATACAAAATTTGTATGTTTTCTGTTAAATAGTACATACGACAATTCTTTATAACAGGTAAAGATTCACCGAGTTCCAAATTACTGTACGCAAAAGACATACCGGAATATCGAAAATGGGTTGAAAGATATTATCGTGATATAAGAGAAATGTCATCAATTTCCGATCAGGATATGAATGCTATGTTGGCCGAGGAATCGAGAGTATGTACTTTAATGATTTATTAAATTTCATAAGTCGTAACTTAATGCCTAATTTTATTCTTACAGTTACATACTACGGAGTTCAATACAAATTGTGCCCTCCACGAACTATATACTTATGCTGTAAAATACAATGAGCAATTAACAGTAACTTTGGAAGAAGATGAATTTTCACAGAAGCAACGGCTTGCCTTCAAATTAGAGCAAGTTCATAACATGATGTCGGGAGAATAAAGAGTAGTAAAAGTTTTTTTAAGAAATCGAATTCAGTATGCAATATAAGATTTAAGTGTTCTCAACTCTTTCTGAACATTAGCAAGAATCATCAATATCATAACGCCGTCAAAAGCTAAGAAAACAACACCTTTATAACTCAAAATGCTTTGATCTATCAATGCTTGTTTCAATAGCACAACGATGACCATATTTTTACAAGCAAAGCAATATTTTGATACTGCCGGTGTATACAAGAAAAAAAACGGATACCCTGTCGCAGAAGGAGCATTAGTTATCAGGATGTATGTTAAAGGTGTGACATCAGACAAACAGCTTTTTATATCTATGTATGTGCATGTAATGCTGTTCAGTACAGTATATGTATCGTGAGACTACTACAAATGCATTGAAAAACAATATAATGGCGTCGGAAGGTTCAAAAATACTTAAGTAACGTTCGCAGGGGAAATACAAAGTTTATTTAAATTTCAGTGATTTCCAAATCCGGTTGTATTTCTTATTAAATATCTGCAAGATCAAAGGATAGTTTTTATCTTTTTATTACCATAAGTATATTTAATGAGTTGACGCTCAACCAACTTTTCCATTTCGTGTCTGAAGTAAATGGCGCGTATTCATAGTCCAGCAACTAAGTCGAAACTACAAAGTTGCAACTTAAATTTAAGTACCAACTTAAAATTTACCTCTATTGAACATCGCATTTCAGACTTCTACTAAGTAGTTTCGACTTAGTTAACGATATAGCAAAACGAGTGTGAAAATGTATCGATTTTTCTTTGCGATATTTTGGAAAAATTACATTGTTGTTAAATAATGTCAAGTTTAATCATCCGTTTATGTAATTTTTATTTTCATTGCATGATTATGCAAAAGAATAAGGTATCATTTTCTTGTTAATTGTGTGAAATAGCCAGAACAACCGCAGTGATGTGAAGTCGATGTTTATCGAAAGCATGCTGTGAAACATACAAATAGTAGATATCTAAATGTTATGCACAAATTTACTTTAAAAGAACTAGCGTGAAACTGACTTATTATTTGAGAATTTATCTAAATTATTCCAATTATAAAATTGTGATGTAGCTTTATTCGAATTGTAATACGCATTTAATTTCATCTTCCGATTAAAATGGATCGCTCTTTGTAAATTTTAATTGGATATTATTCAATATTATCAAAATCACCCTCTACCAACTTAATTTTTACATATTTCGTCTGTTTTCCCTTAATTTGATAAAATACTTCTTCCTAGTTACGACTTAGTTGCAGCTGCAGCCGAAACTAAATTTTAAGTTGGTACTTAGCCAGAAAAGTCGAAACTAAGGCGACTATGAATAGCTTTAGTTGTGACTTAGAATAGTTTCGACTTAGTTGAGTACTAAATATGACTATGAATATGCGCCAATGTTTTTTAATATAAGTAATAAAATAGAATTTTCTATAAACAAATTAAAGTAAATAGGGTCAGCTTGATTCTCTTCTTTTTTCGTTTTCATTCTTGAAATTTACACATGATAATTATTGCTTTCCGTGAGTTTAATTGTTTACTTTAAATCTTAAAAAAATATTTCTGTCTATGGTGGTCACGTCGTCAGTGAAGCATTTTTTAATTCCTTAGAAAGCCATATAGTAACTAATGTAAGAACAAAAGAAATTCTTAATGCTTATGTAAAGGTACACAGTTATTGCGAAAAAGTACATTTTTCACAAACATTAAGATGATGTTGCTGTTTAAGTATTTCTTAAGTGTGTTTATATTTTTCTATCATTTTGTCCATTCTATGCAGATGGAATTACATAATCACGTACACAAGCAGATTTAAGGTCATAAAAACAAACATAAACGTAAAATACACAAAATGACTGATTTTTATATAAAATATAAAGTAAAATAAATTTTTATATTATACAATCATTTAGCTTAACAATATTTAGGTAAACGAAAACTAAACAAAAACATCCAGAAACAGAATAAATTAGTTTTTTTTTTGTATTGCAGAAGATTAAGGATTGTGTTATGTTATATATATATACCTGTACAGTTGATCAAAGAAGTGCTCACATGCTGGTTTTCTTTAATCGCAATGTTTTTCAGTTTCGAGCGGCTAAAAAATAGTGTTGATTTTTTTTGCGCTATTGCCATAAAAACATGACTTTATTATGAAATAAAATTCCACATGTTATATAAAAAAAAAGAAAGTGGAGGGACATAAAGTACGAGGCCATAATCAATTCTTCTTTTCTCGAATGGAAATAATATCAATTATTTTGTTTGAGGCTGTCAGATTTTATTGGACTTTATTCATTTACTAGTGTCATGCGGGTTGGCTTTAAAACGCCAAATTTGAACTTAACTTTTTAAAAAAAGTGAAACCCATTTATAAACCGAAAAAAATAATCCTAACAATTCATCTAAACCATTTCTGAGTGTTGAGAGGTCTCGCATGGTTTCGGTTTTAAATTCATCAATTTTCAAATCACTGCACTATCTTCACTCCAACTTCAAAAAATAAAGCTTATTGCGCATCTATGTTAATTCCAGTTCTTTAATTTGACTTCTAAATAACGGCGCAGATCTGATGAACTTAAAAAAACCCCCAATTAAAAATTTGCCTAAAGTTTTCCGAAAACTCTACCCTTTGAAATTAATATTTCAATATTTCATCTTACTTGTGTATAACTAAAACAAATTCGACTTTTAAAATAGGTGGCAACACCTTTAAAAGTATTTTCAAACTAAAATCTTTTTAAGTTGAATTTTATTTTTTTTAAGATGCCAACTCTAAATACAGTTCAGAAATAAATTATTTTAAAACGCGTTTGGATTGATACCCATCTTTTGACAATCCATTTAACTTATTGAATAATTTGAATTACATTTTTTTCAACAGATGGCAGCCCTCTTCTGACACCTTAATGAAATTCTAAATGTTCAAACTAAATTTTTCTTAACTCGTTCGTTTGATACCCATATTTTAAAATTTCATGCACATAAATTGTGTATAATTAAACTAAGTTCGACTTTCAAAACAGGCGGCAACACTCTTCAAAATTATTTTCGAACTAAAATCTCCTTAAATATCTTTCAAGTAATTGATGAATTCAGTTGAATTTTATTTTTTAAATTCCTGGCAACCCTCCTAAATATAGTTCAGAAAAAATGATTGAAACCCATTTCCATTGATAACCATGTTTTCAGAATTCATTTAATGTATTAAATAATTCAAATTCAACCTTTTAAACTGGTGGCAGCCCTAATACCCATCAAAAATATTATAATTTGTCAAACGGAAGATTTTTTCAAATTCTTTCATCTGACACCGATTTTTGATATTTCATATAACTCGGGTATAAAATAATTTCATTCGACTTCTCAAATAGGTGACAACCCTCTTTAAAATATTTTCAAACTACTAGCTTCATAAACCTCCATATGGTAATACCTTATTCACTTACCGAGTTCCTTAAATTAAACTAAACTTAATATTTTTTAAACACTCTTACACGTAGTTAAGATATAAAGCCTTTTAACTTCATTTCGGTTGATACCCTTACCTTTCGATATGTAACAAACGATTTAACTTTTTATAATAATTTGAGCTTCATTTCTTAACAGGTGGCAACTCTTTTCGAAAAAGTAAAACCTTATTGAACATCTAAAGTCTCAGTCCTTTCATTTGAGACCTTATTTTGATTGGGATCAACTTGTCAAATAACGTTAAATTACAGGCATCTAACCCTAATTTATTTTTCATGCAAATATGGGTTCGAGTATTTTTCATGAAGTGTGAAGTAAAGTGTTTTGTGATATAATATTACTTTTCATTTTGTGATTTTGGTGCAAGGTCTAATAAAACAATTGCATGTACTATTTAAAAAAAAAAGAAACTATGTAAAGTTATACCTTGGGTTTATTAATGCAATATATACATATAAATACTTATTTCTTGCTTACAATATTGGTAAAATGAAGGATGTAATCAAGTAACTTAACAACTTATTCAGAATTTTTATTGTAATAATTTAAATTGCAAATTCATTTGGCGCTTTCCTTTTGCGAATCTTTCTATTATCCTTTCAGTGTTACTTTCAATATCTAAGTTTACGTGTAAAAGTGCTAGACCTATCAGTCTTTCTTCATTCATGGTACTACGCAGCCATGTTTTAGCCGGCGAAGGGTTGAAAAACTTCTTTCGGAAGTAGCGTTACTAGCTGGAAGTGTGACCAGAATGCGGAGAAGTTTGTTAATTAATGGAAAAGCATAATCGTCGCATTTACCAAGAATTTCTGCTTTGTTTTTGGGAACGTCTTTTCGCTTTCCTTATTTGTCCATCGTTCCAACCACACTTTATACTCTCCTTCCAAATTGATACCGTCTTTATCTAAGAAAAGTTCGTATCGTTTTCCAAGTGATTTTACGCGTTCGATAGCGTTATTTTTATGGTCAGGCGTATTATATTCCCCAATTTTAGATGGAAGTAATAAGTTCAAATCAAAAATGTTTAATGTCTCTTTCGGCAATCTCTCTTGAAGATCGAGCAAAATATTATCCAATAGTGGTATAAATATTGCCTTTCGATAATAATCTTCAGCGTTAGATGCACGATAATTAGCCCGAAAATTTTGTCTATTTGCTCTCCGAGGAAGGAAAGTGTCAAAATCCAACTCCTTAGCGGTATCGGCAACTTTTGAAAATATATCAGAAAAATGTGTGTCAGCATTTCAATAATTTCAAAGAATATTCACAATGCCATTGACTGCTTCGCTAGCACGATTCAAGTCCAGCGAGGGCTCTTGGAGAAGTAAACTTTTAATTTTTAATTTTTTAATTTAACTTTTTAATCTTTATTATATTTTTCAAGTCATTAATATTTTTATGCGCATGCAAATGTCTGGTTACACAGATGGAAGTGAAATTTCCTACATACGTGCACCGCGGAAATATACAAAAAAAAATCAGAAAGTTCGATTTGACATACATACATACATTCATACAGCCCAATTATGAATACTCCCAGGGAGTTTGTTCTCCGGGAATTTGTTTCTCCCGAGAAAAATCCTCTAATAATTAACTCCCAGGAAGTAGCATTTTCCCCGAAAATATGGATGGAGAAAATTCAAACTTCGCAAGAGCTGTTTGATACTTTTTTGCCGGCTCAACTCCGCCATTTAGTATAAAAAATCCGCAGGGAATTTTTGTTCATGATAGGAGGAAAGGGAAAAGAGAAAACTCCCAGGGAGTTTCTGTTCAGAATCGGCCTGATAGTTTAGTTTATTTAAAAACACATACGCCAATCGGCATTGCACATCAAAATTATTTACTGAAAGACTTATTAGGAGAGTATAAACATCAATTTACAAAAATTTCAATATTGCTTAATTTCTAAATTGCTTTATTTCTAAATTGCCTGTGATACCAGCAGTGCTCTCTTGATTTGCGCCATGAACGAAGAAAGGGTTCCTCCAAAGTTATCAAGGTCCGAGGCATGTCTGTTGACCAAGCTTGCAATTCTGTTATGAGGTCCATGATAGTAATAATTGTTATTCGGTCTCTCCACTGCTAGTATTCGCCTCGATCTGAGATCGATCCTAGAGTACACGAAGCCAAAGGAACTGAGGATTTCCGGACAGTCAATCATGCCATTA